ACTGATATACATATACAATTCACCTCTCTCCCACTTTTTGCCTTCTCTCGCTTGCCTTTCTCCTTCCTCCCCCGATCTCGCTCGCCTCTCTCCTCCCTCTCCCAATCTCGCTTGCCATATATACAAATACATATGTATAATATATAATTATCTAACTGATATACATATACAATTCATCTCTCTCCCACTCTTTGCCCTCTCTCACTCACCTCTCTCCTCTCTCTCCCAGTCTCGCTCGCCTCTCTCTTCCCTATGATATGTAGCTACGAATTGTAATTATCAAACGATAGCTATGGAGAGTAATTAGGCTATTTTTGAGTGGCTATATGTGAAAGTTCCTCTTCTTTTATCTATATGATATGTCTCCTATGTATCTGATATACACATAATAATTAGATGTATCTAATTCTAATATATTCATTATGTGTTATTTCTATGAATTTGATATGTTTTTTTTTTTGTATGTATCTTATATGTACTTAATGATTAGATGTATTTGATCTGTTTATCCTGTGTATCTGAAATATTTTTCTATGTATTTAATATCAATCAAAAAAATATCTTCTTTTAGAGGTGATGAAATGACTCCCTTCTTTGGCTTCTTCAATGCTGCAACCACCTTAGTATTCTCCTATATGGGGGCTGCTTATGGTATAATGAAGAATGGGGTCAGGGTGGCGTCAATAAGTGTGATAAATCTAGAGTTGGAGATGAAGTCGATTATGTTATCTTGAAATCCAACAAATTATGTGTCGGTTGATATGGCTGGAGTTTTGGATATTTATAGATTAATTGATTTTTTTCCCAAATCAATGCTTGTAGCTCGATGAAATTAGTAAAGATATCTACTACACAGAAAACAAATATAATGGAGAATAAAATAGAACAACGTTGTCCCTCCATATGAAAAACAAATATAAGAATAAGTAGTATACTTTTGTAATTTTCACATTATTAATTCATTGATCAAATAAACATGTAAAGTCAGCTCAATATCCATATATAACAAATTATTGTGGATCCTTTTGGATATTAATCAATTATGTCAGCCATTTATAGTTTTCTATAACTATAGTCGAAAATTAATGAAGTTTTACTTTACTAAATTAATTTATCAATTATATATTACGATTTTTATACCTTTTTGTCTACCCTTTCATCATATTTGAAGGGAGTTTTGGAGCAATAGTAAAGTTGGTTCGAGCCGTGGAAGCAGTCATTAATGCTTGTATTAGGATAGGTCATCTACCGACCCTGCTAACACGGGATGTTGTGTGCACTGAGTGCCTTTTTTGAGTCATAATCTGTAAACTGAAAAGGGCCAAAAATGTCCCTATACTATCTCAAAAGGCCCAAGTATAAGCTGAAATAAAAGAAAAATAGTTTGGATTATAAAAAAAATTGGAGTTGCCCCCAGATAATTAAGCAGTTTCCTCTTCACTGTACTGAGGTTTAAGATATGTTAATGTATTATAGTGGATAATTGGCAATAACACTCAACAGAGAGGGTATGTTGATTGAAGTAGAGAACTGTAACAAACCCACCCATTTGAGCCCGAAGTAAATTTGGGTGGGTCATGACCCAACCCAATCTGATTTCTATTTCACCTCATTCCGCCATTTGACATCCTTAATTTTAACATATTGTTATTTATCTTTTATAACCACAATTAGCATTTGTGTAATGTATGTTATTAGTTATTACTATCTATTTTATATCTTCTAAAATTTATCTATCCTTTTGTAACTTATGTTTTATTTTTTTTACGTACAAATTACAATAATGCAGATAAATTTTTTTAAAACGGATTGAAATTGAAAATTAAATTTGTAACAGCTGAAGTGAAATGAAAAGAGATCAAGAGCAAGACAATAATCAAGTAAGAAGAACTCACAAGTGGATATCGCCAGTGAATACCCAAACCAAAACTGAAATATATGATTATTATATTATATTATATACTAGTAAAATTACCTGCATTTCGCGCGGGAATTTTATGTTATGGAATTTATAAAATAATACTTAAAATCTATCAGTCATTAAAATTAAAACACTATATTATCTTACATACAAGATTACGTAGTAACAAACATTAATAATGTAAAGAAAAATGA